GAGCTGCTCTAACCCGAAGTTCTCTTCTGGCTGCTTCTTCCACAGGTAATGAGCTGCTTCTACCCATCCTCTATGTACCACAAACTTCTTCTCTCTTATAGCCCAACGCACCTTCTCTGTTCCCACATCCATGGCCACGACGTGTGTAACGGATGCATCCACTTCAGTTGCACAGGTGGCTCCCAGTCCCTCAGCCATCCTCCACAGTGGGTGATCCTCGGAATGATACTTGGTTGGGAACACCCGACTGAACACTACTTTACATCCTTTAAGGATTTCTTTACGCACTTCTTTCAATACTGTCCTGACGTCTCTGCCGGATTCGTCTTCTCCTCCATCCTGAAAGAATAGTAATTGATAATTAAAAAACCAGCGACGCATAAAGAAGAGCTTCTTTTAGATATACTGAGCATACCTCAAAGAATAGACCGTGTGTTTGTTTAAGGACTCTAAGAAGGGTTGCAAGTGCTCCATCCGGTTCACTCTCATCGCTCTTCAGCTGAGATAGAGACTCGAATCTGTGGTCAAACTGTTTGCAGCTTGAGGCAAAAAAGTGATACCTCTCTATCACGATCAGATTGTCCTTATGATTTGGCCACGCCTGTGCATCAATACCAAGTATCAGTGCATCTACTCTATCATGATCAAAAACAACATGAAACATTGAAGTACACAAAAATTCTTACATTTTCTGTATCGTCCAGAATCAGAACAGAACTTTCTTGTCCCAACACCACATCTAGACTCTTTTGATGTTTCACCGTCCCATCGTCCCGAGAAATGATCCGATCGCCAAAGTACTCTCCTTTTGGATCCAGCAGCTTCGCCATCTGTCGTGCATATGGCCTATCTCCCATTGTGTATATATACATCACAAACATCTCGCTGGCTTCTTTTAGAAATGAATGAACAAACGGCCTCAACTTGGTCATCATGTGCATAAAATCCAACATGAAGAGACTGCCACCAGTAACATCTGAAATCAACCAAAAAAATCAAGAAACTTCTTAGACCTATAACACATGCAAACATCTAGGTAGAACAACAAAGGACAAATACAAGACTGAAGTTCCATGTACAAAAATATCATTCGAAAACAGTAAATCAATGTAGTAGAATGTATCACCTTGAAGAGAATGTGTATGGCTTTTCAAGTATTCCTCCTCTGGTCTCAGGTCCTTCAGTACGGTTGAATTAAGCAAAGTGTGGTCTAAATCAAGAACTAAGCACAACTTCCGCTGGCGTTGCAAGATCCTCATATCTGAATCACGCAACCGGGAGATTTCTTCTTGATTTAGCCTTATACCCTAAGAAAACAGATTTCCCCAAGCTCATTAACCAAAACTAAGACTTGATTTACATGTATCTATTCCGAAATTTGTAAGGAAACCGAATAGACTTACATACCTTGTGTATGTATCGAAATGAAACACCGGTTTCTTCCAATCTTTGGCCACAAACAAAACACATGCTTCCAAAGGAACCTGGGTGCTCACATGCGTCCTTGCTTGAGGATGCTTCTGCAAACATAACAAGTATCGAAAGTCGATAAAATAGAACAGACGACAGGCACCAAAGTAAGTCTGTAGAAAGAGAGCTTCACCTAAGATTTCTTCTGAAAATGTCACAGAATCCAGAGCCTCAATCTCCTCTTCGTCTACAGTTTCTAATTGCTCAAATTTTCGTCTCTTTAACCTACAATACGGTTGAGAAGCATGAACTAGAGACACTAAAGTTCACCCAAAAGAACAAACACAGAGATATGATAGTCACAGAAAAATGAGAGATTGAAGAGCGTGAGTTTTACCTAAGATTCGCAACTTCAGCATCATCCTCGGCTTCTTCGCTGGGGAACGATTCAGACGAAGAATCTGAGTCAGAATCTAACTCAGCTTCAAGGAAGGCTGCAAGATCGTCACTACTAGAAGAATGCACTGGAGAATCACTCGCAACACTCATCTGAAAACCACGCACAAGGCATGAAAAATCAGAGAAATTTTCAGAATCGACGCAAATCAAAAGACAAAAGTCACGAAATGACTAAACCCTAATCATACACAAACAAACAAACAAGAAAATGAATGGAATTCGAATCGAAATCGCAGATAAAAATAGCAAACGAAAGAAGAAAATGGATGCATACCTTATCGTTGTTGTTCGTCTGTTGAAAGAAAACTCAAATCGTGATTGGGTTTTGAAGACGACGGAGTGTGGGAGATTTTTCTCGGCGGAGCAACCGTAAAGGGCAAAAAAAGTTTCAACTTCTCTCCGATTTGCTATTTTGCGAAGAGCCGAATGGTTATATTATCAGGCCCAGTTAAAGGCCCGTAAGAAGTTTAGTTAAGGTTAATTATTTGGGTCACACGACAAGCCTAACGAAGATTAAGAAGGGTTAAGTATTTAAATGTGGGTTTAATTTTAGTGTTAATGGAATATTAGAAGAACATCACATTCACATTATTAAATGTATAGAAGCTGTGTATAGGAGTTACAGAGGAACACTAACTATATATGGTAGAAAAAATTGGGAAATTTTAAGAAATTTTCTTGAGTTTATTAGGCATCATCATGTAAGGAGCTGTTTTTTTAAGTTTAGGGA